TTCCGCAGATTTTACAAGTGATTATACAAGGCGCTGGCACCATTATTTATTTTTTTAAATTTTTTTATTTATTTATTTATTTATTTATTATTATTCATTACCGGCTGATCTTCGTGAGGCACCTTCACTCCTTGTATTTAAAAGAATTTGAAGGCTTATCTCTTCAATCTTTATTAACTTTCCCATGGTTAATAATTCTCATTAATTTGTTAATCTCTGTAGTTAAATTTCTGTAGTTATTAAGTTGTTTTGTAGTCAAATTTTTTTTCCCCCTGAAAAGTCGAACCTCCTTACTTGAGGTAGCGCCGCCAACTTAGCAGTGCACGGTAGGGGAGCCATAGGCTTATCCTTAGTGGAAGCTACCGTAGCCCAGCAAACTGACGCCGAGGTACCTGCGTGTACACGGTAGTGATGGCGACGCTATCTCAAAATCGGGGGTGTGCACTCCCCCCTTCGCGTTCTTTTGTCTTTGTTTCTTGTGGCTTCAAAAGCGCCTTGAAACGGTTTTCTGTGGAAGGCGCTATATAAATATACGACCATTGATCCTTGACCATTATTTCCTGGGTTACTGGATACTGAATTGGCAGATCCGCACAGTGTGCAAATTTTTCTGCTCCCTGGGGAGTATCCCTGGTCATTGCTGCTTGAACACGCACGACCCCTACATTTATATACCATACCATAATACAATGTACTCATTTACTACTAGAAAGTTCAACGCCTAAGTAGGTAGACTCCCAATGTTAAGTGCAATTATTCAAAAACACATATTGGTTTTGCCAAGTTTTAGGGTAAGTAATTAGAAAACAAAAAAAAGGATCCGATATATCAACATATTTTATCCCCACCGTAACTTCCCACAGTAATGTCAAACATGTCGTCTGAATTTTTCTTAGTCAATGTTGAGTAAATAATAATATCTGCTTTGTCTTCAGAGATTCCGGTGTGCTTTAGTTCGTACAAGATATCGTCTGTTAACAATATTTGTGATAGACAATTAGAATTCCACAATGTTAAAGAGATAGACTTCTTGGTTTGTGCTGGATGGATTTAAATCATTCAGTGACAGAAATGGTCTTTTTCCATTTGTTTATTTGTGTTTTTGTGAGCCGGTCATGGCTTATCCAGTCGAGAATGGTCTTGCCTATGATTTTTGATGGGTTTAAGAGTCTACAGTCTGGTTTTTGTAAAAAGTTATCGTTATGGTCTTTGAATGTTATGCCAAGCTTTCTTCATCAATGGTTTCTATTTGGTTCCAATTTCAAGCTTTGTAGTAATTGATTTGGTTGCGTTGATAATTTTGTGGGTGCTGCCTTCTTTTCTCTTCTTTTATGATATGACGTAGTGATGTTTTCGTGTATGAGTTTATCGCACCAAACCCAGTTACATTTTAGAAGTTTGTTGTTTATCAGCAGTGTTGGATGAGTTCATTTGCTTTGCTGGTGATATTTACGATCTTTGAGCACGAGGAATGCCCTTTTTTCAGCAATGTTTCCCATGCTTTTGAAGTTGAGACTATAAGCTTTCCTAGCTTTTCTACAGCTCCACTCTGTGTGAGCGTTTCAGTCATTTTTTTAAAAAGTCAGTGTACATATATTCTAATTACTTATTTAAGTACCCCCTTTATTTTTCACAGACTGTTATTATAGGGCATAGGTGGTAAAAGCAGAGACAAAAGGGTTAGTGGCAAAAATAATAGTTATGAAAGTGTATTTTACCATTTCTCAAACATGCCCCATCGATGATTCTGACGTCATCTAAAGCAATACCATCGTAATAACTATTTCTTACGATTCCTTCAAATACTATCTGGAAGGCACTCTTTGTTTCAACTGACAGTTTTCCAAGTCGCCAGAGGTTTCCTCGATTGTTTCTATTTGTCCACGCAGGTACACCAACGGTATTTTCTCTATTGACTAGGTACACATTCAATGTGGCCCCGTAAATGTGGTAAAACCACATGACGCATGTGCCGTTTGTTGCGGGATATGACGATGTCCAAAGACGTGCAGTTTCGTTGTTGTATCGCGGATATGAAGTTTTGATGTACATGTAGGAACCTGTAGGCAAATGATAAAATAAATGTTATGGTTTAAGAGATATTGTTGTTATATCTCTGTCTATAGTTTATTTTATATATTTCGTTTGTAGTTTTAGAAATATTTTTATTAAGAATTTACAATTTCATTTAGGAAATTTAAATTCATGTCAGCTTATTAATACCTTGTAATGTTCCGTAGGTGTGGTCATACGTAGGGCCAGTAAAATATGTGGGTGTTGATCCAGATGTTCTTATCCAATCAAAATCATCATATTCATCTTGTACAAAGTAACAGATGTGTGGATCTTCGAAATCACATTGGTTTCGTACTGAAACAAAAATTCCAAGACAAAATTAATTAACTGATTGTAATTGCATTGCTTAAAACAGTTGCTGGAAACCAAAGTACAATAATTTGTAACTTTGTTAGGAAAACATCCTATCATCAATTTGCAAGAATTTCAATAATAAAAAAAAAAATTAACAATTTCACTTGCATAAAGTCAAACCGGTATCCACAACACATTGTTCCATAATCTTAATGGTATACTACCAAAAACATTTTTGTTTTGAAACTATAAATTTTACATTACTTAATTAGCTTCTTAAAAATTGTATTATTGGTTCATGCAATTTCTCGTTTGAACTAAAAACGACACTTAAATACCTTAAGGATTTGCAATTTTAATTACATTTTATTTTCAATTCCATTTTATTTAAATACCTTCTTTTCTGGCTACAATAATATTATTATTTTTCCATTTTGTACAGCACATAGCCGAAGATTTTAAAGTCAATGAACCATGTCATTGAATAATGAAAGATTACTTATGTAAAGTTAAAATGATTAGATAATAAATCCCCTTTTCGAATGTTGTCTCTATACTATTTTTACTTTATTAATAATAATAATAATAATAATAATGTTAATAATAATAATAACTAGATTTGAACTCGTCACTGAGGACGAGTTAGGTGATCCGCCGCACTTTGACCCACGAGGAAGTGTGCGCGGTGCGGATTGAACAATATTTAAATGCTGATAATGGCAATTACGCTAATTTAGTTTGTTAAAAAAGAATTTGGAGCATTTTAAAAGATTTACTCATGCGTACGCGCACCTCATGACGCACGTGCGCATCTTAATGTCACTGTTGTCTCCTGATATGAGATATATATGTATCAACTTTCATTGACAAACGCCTGTTGGTGAAGGAGTAATGCTCATTCATAATATTTATCATATATAAAAATTCAGTTTTTTTTACTTCAGATGGCAATATGGTGACGTCAGAATGTCCGATCAGCTATTATGATATATAAAATCATATCTACAGCTCATGTGCTTTCAGAATATGTAATAAAAGTTATGGGTCACCTTTCATCCTAAGGGGCTATAACTGATTAAAAAAAAGACATGATATAAAGCATATATTAATTTTGACGCACGCAAACGCTCGCGTTATTACGCGTGCAAAAAAATATAATGTACATAACATTTAACCATGACCTGAAGTTTATACCCACTAAATATGATTCAGAAATCACGACTGATTAAGGTGATTATGGGGTCATCAAAGGCTGGACGAAAGAAAGATGGGGGGGGGGGGGGGGGTAAGCAAAACCCTATATTTTGACCATACATCAAAATGTAAAAAAATGCCACGTATATATGAAAGAGAATTGCCTCAGCTACAACATACTAAAAGTTGGAAGACAATCGGTCAAGAGTAAGCGAGTACGCTCAAATGCGCATTTGCTAAAATGAGGTCATCGATAATATTCAGTTTGTTGAATTCAGATGACAATATGATGACGTCATAATGTCCGATCAGCCATTATGACCTATAAAATCATATTTACAACTCATGTGCTTTCAGAATATGTAATAAAAATTGGGGGTCACCTTTCATCCTAAAGAGCTGTAACTGTTTAAAATTAGGCCTGATTTTAGCAAAATCTCACTGTATATCGGCACAAATGCGTTCAAAGGTCACTATGTTTGATGCGTGCGTACGGCATTGTTATTGGCCATAGAGTGATTGAAAAGACTGGAAACTTGTCAAAACAATGTCAGGAACCCAAAATGTGACAAAAAAAAAAATAATTTCTAGCTTCCATACGCGCGCGTAAAAATGCGCACGCGTAGTGGTAAATTTCAAAATTTTCAAAATGGCCTGAAACGTGCTCTAATTTAATCTAAATGTGATTTCGAGCATTTTAAAAGTTTGACGCACGCGTACGCGCGCGTTATGACGCGCACGCGTAAAATAAGGGTAAATTACATTTAACATTGACTTGTTAATGCTCACTTAATACGATTTCAAAATGGCAATTGGTTAGGCTGATATGATCGATAATGTAAAAACGCAAAATTGCGCGTAGATGACGTCACGCATAACTGCGCACTTTGAAAACCTTATTGTGACTATTCCAGGCCAAGCTAAATGTTTGTTGAAGCGTGCATGTATGAATCTCGTGCCAATTTTTAGATATCGTGCTAACAAGAAATGGAAAAAAAAAGATCTCTGGCAATAACAAGAGGTGATCCGCTAGCGGAGCGGATCACCAATAATATCAATAATAATGTAATAAAAGTTTAAACTTTTGATCACAACACAAACAAATTTCCTTACCGTGAAATTTGTTTGTGTTGTGATCAAAAGTTTGAACTTTTATTACATTCGAACACCAACACAGATGAGCTATTTTTTGAATAATAATAATAATAATAGTAATAATAATAATAATAACATTTATAGCGCAAATAAACAAGGTCTCTATGTGCGGCATCTGGAGATCTGTGTTTATGTACTTCAGTTAGCATCGGTTAAGTCTTGATCTTTTTTTAGATCATTAGTAAAATAAATAATAGATAAACGAGAGATATATACATTATCTCAGTTGCAAACTGAAACTTAGTACTGATGTTGACATTAATTTTTTAATATTCATTCTATTAGCCTACATTTATGCATAATATTTACAATCTTTTCAGAAACTGATCATGTTGTATACATTTTTAACCACGTTCTACACATTAGATTTATTATTATATTTAGCTCAATACGTAATGCACATTATTTATCGCTGTAAAACCTTACATATATTGCAAGTTGGTCCAACAAAATCAGGCATGCACTGACAGTTCTCAATTCCGTATTCTGATTCACAGACTCCGCCGTTCAAGCAGTCAATATCGCAAGTTTCTTCAATTAGAAATTGAATATTAATTAGTGACATACGCTGTTCGTATTAAAATAACATCATCACTCATCATAATACTAATTGTATAAAATTATTATTGTTATGAAAATCGCATTTGTCTTTATATATACATTGATTGATATACATTGATTATGTAAGCGGTATATAATTTAGATACATTACTCATAGTGAATTGTTGCGTATGAAGGCATTGATACATATATACATATACATATTAACATATTTTATCCCCACCGTAACTTCCCACAGTAATGTTAAACATGTCGTCTGAATTTTTCTTAGTCAATGTTGAGTAAATAATATCTGCTTGTCTTCAGATTCCAGTGTGCTTCGTGCGTACTAGATATCGTCTGTTAACAATATTTGTGACAGACAATTGGAGTTCCACAATGTCAAAAGAGATAGACTTTCAGTGACAGAAATGGTGTTTTTCCATTTGTTTATTTGTGTTTTTGTAAGCTGGTCATGGTTTATCCGGTCGAGAATGGTCTTGCCTATGATTTTTGATGGGTTTAAGAGTCTACAGCTTGGTTTATGTAAAAAGTTTTCGTTATGGTATTTGAAGTTATGAAGGCTTTCTTCATCAATGGTTTCTATTTGGTTCCAATTTCAAGCTTTGTAGCAATTGCTTTGGTTGCGTTGATAATTTTGTGGGTGCTGCCTTCTTTTCTCTTCTTTTATGATATGACGTAGTGATGTTTTCGTGTATGAGTTTATCACATTACAGCTAGTTACTTTTTAGAGGTTTGTTGTTTATCAGCAGTGTTGGATGAGTTCATTTGCTTTGCTGGTGATATTTATGATCTTTGAACGTGAGGAAAGGCTTTTTTACGTTTCCCATGATTTTGAAGTTGAGACTATAAGCTTTCCTAGCTTTTCTATCTACAGCTCCACTCTGTGTGAGCATTTTGATCATTTGTAAGAAAGTCTGTGGGGGATATATATTAAAATTACTTATTTAAGTTTACCCCCTTATTTTTTACAGACTGTTATTATAGGGCGTAGGTGGTGAAAGCAGAGACAAAAGGGTTAGTGGCAAAAATAATAGTTATCAAAGTGTATTTTACCGTTTCTCAAACATGCCCCATCGATGACCCTGACGTCGTCTAAAGCAATATCACCTTTATCATTACTTCCTACAATTCCTTCAAACACTATCTGGAAGGCACTCTTTGTTTCAACTGACAGTTTTCCAAGTCGCCAAATGTTTCCTTGATTGTTTCTATTTGTCCACGCAGGTGCACCAACGGTACCTTCTGTATTAATTATGTACACATTCAATGTGTTCACTGTGGCCCCGTACATGTGGTAAAACCACTTGATGCATGTGCCATTTGTTGCAGGATATGACAATGTCCAAAGACGAGCGGTTTGGTTGTATCGCCAATATGAAGTTTCGATGTACATGTAGGAACCTGTAGGCAAATGATAAAATAAATGTTTTAGTTTAAGAGATATTGTTGTTCTATCTCTTTGTAGTTTATTTTATTTATTTCGTTTGTAGTTTTAGAAATATTTCAATTAAGAATTTACAATTTCATTTAGGAAATTTAAATTCATGTCAGCTTTTTATTACCTTGTAATGTTCCGTAGGTGTGGTCATAAGCAGGGCCAGTACTAAATGTGTATGTTGATCCAGATCTTCTTATCCAATCAAAATCATCATATTTATCTTGTTCAAAGTAACAGATGTGTGGATCTTCGAAATCACATTGGTATTGTGCTAAAACACAAATCCCAAGACAAAATTAATTAACTGATTGTAATTGCATTGGTTAAAACAGTTACTGGAAACCAAAGTACAATAATTTGTAACTTTGTTAGGAAAACATCTTATCATAAATTTTCAAGAATTTCAATAATATAAAAAAAAAAAACACATTCCAAATTTTACTCACATAAAGTCAAACCGGTATCCACAACACATTGTTTCATAATGTTAATGGTATAAATTACCAAAAACATTTTTGTTTTAAAACTTTAAATTTTACAGTACATAATTAGCTTCTTAAAAATTGTATTACTGGTTATTGCAATTTCTCGTTTGAACTAAAGACAACACTCAAATACCTTAAGGATTTACAATTTCAATTACATTTTATTTTTAATTCCATTTTACTTTAGATACCTTTTTTCTGACTACAATATTATTATTTTTCCATTTTTTACAGCACATAGCCAAGAATTTTAAGATCAATGAAACATGTCATTGAATAATGCAAGATTACTTATGTAAAGTTAAAATGATTAGATAATAAATCCCCTTTTCGAATGTTGTCTCTATACTATTTTTCGTTTAATAATAATAATAATGATAATAACAGTAATAATAATGATGATCACAACACAAATTTCCTTACTGTGAAATTTGTTTGTGTTGTGATCAAAAGTTTAAACTTTTATTACATTCGAACACCAACACAGATGAGCCATTTTTCGAATAATAATAATAATAATAATAATAATAATAATAATAATAATAATAATAATAATAATATTTATAGCGCAAATAAACAAGGTCTCTATGCGCCCGACAATATTGTAGAAAAGAAACAATAAAAAAAGCCAAAAAAAATCAATAAACACCTAGAAGCACCCAAACCGAAGTATGGGGTTATACCATCACCGGCAACTTGAGATCTGTGTTTATGTACTGTGCTCCAGTTAGCATCAGTTAAGTCTTGATCTTTTCTGAGATCATTATAGTAAAATAAATAATAGATGTAGAAGAGATATATACATTATCTCAGTTGCAAACTGAAACTTAATACTGATGTTGACATTAATTTTGAAATATTCATTCTATTAGCCTACTGTTACATGCAAAGCACAAACAGAGAATAGGAAACACAATAGCTTAGTATTATATACAATATGTACATTTAATAATAAAAGCATAGATACATTATTATAAAAGAGAACAAAAATGATGGTGGTAAAACACGATTAAATACTTTAAGATGCTCGAAAACTTACAGAATTAGCTGAGCTCACGGCTAAGTAAGTTGGATCAAAGACTGGTGTCCGAAACCGGCAAGGTCTATAGATAAACTTAATGAACTACGGCAGACAGCAGACTTGTAATAAAGTTAATGATAACTTTAGAACTTTTGGACTAACTAAATGATAGGATTGTACCCCATTTTATACATTTATGAACAAGATATGTGGGGGAGATTATTATGACATCACCACATAACTTTAAGATGAATTTACTAACTTTAAGATGAATTTGGGAATGACATCATCTCCTTAAGGATGAAGTTGTAGATGACATCATCACACAACTCAGATTCAACAGTCCCTTAACCTTATTTGGAATATTAGCCAATAGGTGATTTGGACAACAAAATTTATGAGGGCACTTTAGAACGAATTTTTAGATGCACTCTACAATATGGTAATACAGACTAAACTATTACAAAGTATATAGTAAAAATAACATAACAGTATTTAACATTGTATTATAGTAAAATAAATGTATTAGGTATAACCCAACACCTAACAATACATTTATGCATAATATTTACAATCTTTTCAGAAACTCAACATGTTGTATACATTTTTTACCATGTTCTGCACATTAGGTTTATTATTATTATATTTAGTTCCATACGTAATGCACATTAATTATCGCTGTAAAAACTTACATATCTTGCAAGTTGGTCCAAGAAAACCAGGCATACACTGACAATTCTCGATTCCGTAATCCGAGACACAGACTCCGCCGTTCAAGCAGTCAATATCGCAAGTTTCTTCAATTAGAAATTGAATATTAATTAGTGACATACTCTGTTCGTATTAAAATAACCTCATCGCTCATCACAATACTAATTGTATACAAATTATTATTGTTAAAAAAATCGCATTTGTCTTTATATATACATTGATTGATATACATTGATTATGTAAGCGATAGATTATTGTCGGTGCTTTTGAGCCAGCTTAATACTAAGACTTAATTGCTAGTGACTAAACTACAGTATACAATAATTAAACAGGAAATAAAATACAGTGAAATTTATATAAGGTCCTATATAATTTAAACAATTGTGTAATGGAAAATTGATGTAGGAATATAATAGTAGTTCTATAATTATATGTTTAAATTATATAACGCATGATATGATGACTATTAAATACAATTTAGAAATCAAGGAACATAATATAATGTACATACGTAGAAATAATATATACTGTATTTATATAGCATATATAATTAGATACTTTATTCTAGTGAATTGTTG